TGTTGACCAGGATGGTCTCGATCTCTTGACCTCGTGATCCACCCGCCTCGGCCTCCCAAAGTGCTGGGATTACAGGCTTGAGCCACCGCGCCCGGCTGAGATTAACTTTTAACCAGAATCTTTGGCTTTGGATGTAGATGTCAATGTCATCTAGAAAAGAAAGAACATCAGGATGGGAATTCTTTGTGCCCTTGGGCTACGGTCTCTTTGGGTCTATTTTTCCTAATAATTCTTGTCTTTCCTTCATCTCAGAGGACTCTGAAGATAAATAGGGCAACTACACATATCTGATGTCAATCTACTTCTAAAAGTGAGACTCTCAAAAGGATTTTGCTGCAAGAATGAGGGGCAAAATCCTCTGTGTGTAAATTAAATGGAGAATGGAGTGAGCAAGGCAGAAAGGACCATGTTGTCCTTGTGAACATAATCATGCTGGTCTTTTGTGCAGTGTGTTCAGTTCCCAAATACCATCTTGTTTGATCTTCACAACTCCCTGTAAGGCAAATAGAGCAGGGGTTGTTTTCTTCATTGTACAGATGACAAAACAGACTCTCAATGGGGTGATAGTTCGTCCAGGGTCACACAGCCTGTAAGCCACTGAGCTAGAAACTAGGCCTTCCCACCAGCAATCCTCCTCCACCGTTATAGACTCTGACCAAACACAAACTCACACAGGGCCAAATTTATCAACCAAATCTAAAAATTAAATATGACAATATTGGTTGTCTGTCAGCAGCTAGGCTCACTTCTGAGGCCTTAGAATTGGTGTTAAAATATCTAATCTGTTTGAAGATCATTTCGGTTCATTCTCACTGCATTTGGCCTCTTGGAGGCACCCATTACTTCTCTTTTTTATTTTATTTTATTTTATATTTTAAGAGGCTGGGACTCGCTATGTTGCCCAGGCTGGAGTGCAGTGGCTGTTCACAGGCGCGATCCCATGACTGATCAGCACAGGAGTTTTGACCTGCTTGGTTTCCAAGCTGGGCTGGTTCACCCCTCCTTAGGTAACCTGGTGGCCCCCCGCTTCCGGGAGATGATCATATTGATGCTGAACTTAGTGCGGACACCTGATCTGCATAGTGCACTACAGCCCAGAACTCCTGGACTCAAGAGATCCTCCAGCCTCAGCCTCCCGAGTAGCCGGGACTATGGGCACGCGTCACCATGTCCAGCTACTTTTCATCATCTTTCATTTGATGTCTCCTAAGTCCCACTCAGATGGAAGGTTTGCTGAGAAAATGGTGGTTCCAAGCCTTAGAAAATTTACCTTTCAATATGTGCTCATTTACTTCATGCCACTTGGGGATATTTATGTCATTCAAGGTGGCTGGCTCTAATACACCTGTTTCAAATCTAAACTTTACTTTGAGATTACACCATTCAAGACATAAGTTTAGGGCTGGGCACGATGGCTCATACCTGTAATCCCAGCACTTTCAGAGGCTTAGGTGGTTGGATCACCTGAGGTCAGGAGTTCGAGACCAGGCTGGCCAACATGGTGTAACCCTGTCTCT